TAAAATTAAAAGTGCAACCTTGAAGTGAATATTTTCTGATCTAGTTTTTTTTTGTTTCTTTTACCAGCCTTGAATGCAGCCATCGCAATTCCGATTGCAACAGGACTTGCAACTATATTGGCCCTTGGTTTGCCTTGCTTTTCATAAATGTAAGTCCCCAGCAATGCTTTTCAGCACAGTAACATGTAATCAAATCTTCATAATTGTTGCAATTACATAGAAATACAGATTGCAGCTGAGCGTACCCCATTATACCCACAAGAGAAAGTTTTTGTATGAACTAGGTAAACCATAGAGACCAGCTGGAAATAAAATAATACTGCCCTTTAGGCAATGAAACCCTGACAATATAAAGCTGGTGACAAATTAAAGCAAAAACCTGATTGATGATGGAGGAACAGTTACAAATACAGCACTTTTATACAGGAACAAGGGGTCATTGAATGTGTGGATGAAGAAAAATGACATGAATCAAACACCTAATAGGAAGAATGGAGAAGAGAAACTAGAAGGTTGTGTTGGGCTTTTGTCCTTTAAATTGTCACCCCATCTGGTAAGATCAGATGTTTGAACCTGAATTACGCTTTAAGAGACTGTTTGTTTATTATTACTAAATAATCTGGTTTAACTGTTTCCTGTATGTTTGTTGCCCCTTCCCCCGGCAATCCTCCTCTATTATTTGCCAGTCAACTGAATCAAAAACATTTTATTTTGAACTTCATCTGCAAAAAAATGTCCCTGCTAAATCTTGTTTTTGGGAAAAGCAGATTTTGCTAAACATCATCTATTTTTGCTAGATACTGCAAAAAAATGTCTCACTTCCAAATCGTTAAATACTGCCCCCTACGGTTCACAATATAGACGCTGTAAGTATCCCCTTGTGTCACTTCTTGAGGCACAGGGCCCATGATCAATTTAACAGAATGAATATGCATCTTAACCTTCTTGGAGTCCACACGACCTGCCATGAATAATCAGGTTGGTGTTCACGACACACTGAAAGCGGCAGTATTTGACGAGTTGGGAGCTGTTGAGCTGTCCCATTTTACATTTTGAATGTATAACATCATAGTTGTAGATTGTGTTCTTGTTCTCAACCTCTACTTACATAACACTACTAGCTCATTTGGTCAAACATATAAGTGGCCTGCCATCCAGAACTTGTAAATTCACTAACAAAAAGTGCAAAATAACAAAATAAACTATTTAGGTAACTTTGTTTTCCCTTTACAAAAGCATTGACACAGTGAGGGGTTGCATGTTATGTATTTTGCAGATGAAAACTGTAGCTGAGTCTCCGGATCCAACTAATGATGCTTCAGATTCTTCTATACTGTACTCCTTGGTGGGAACTCACACTGGATCCACTGAGACTAGAGTCGACCCTCCAGACAGCGGCGTGTATGCTCAGGTAGAAATTACTGCCAGGTCCTGAAACAGATCATCAAGAAGTGTCCACATACTGCAAGTGCAACAGTTTCCAGTTTGAATGCTGGTGACACTGGATGCACCCGCCTTTACACCTACAGTATGTATCATACATACATCCATGTTTACACATGGAGAGTTGAAATTGCCACTTATGTGACCTGCTCTACTTGAAACAGAATGAGGAAATGTTACTAAGCATCACACACATTCAGAAGTTCCTCTTTAAACTCATCACATTTCTATATTAGTCCTATATGAATTAAAACCTCATGAAGAGCAGTTTTATAGTATCAATTATGGAACTAAGCCTCAGATTGGGGACCTGGAGATCACTGCAGATTGTTCAAAAGCTTCAGAAGAATTATATTATATATATTTGTATTTTTGTCCTATATTTTTTGTAAATTATGTCATTGTTTACAATACTTAATAAACTTGTGTTATGTAGATTAGCTTGCAGCTTGTATAGTGACAACCAAAGACAATTGGCCTCTCTGAACAGAATTCAATTTAAATAATTTCTTAGGGATATTATTATAGGTACTTGAATAGTTTATTGTTTCTAAAAACAGACTTACAATATTCAACTGATCAAATGCTTTATCCTTAGAGTTGAAAAGCATTTCAATAATTGTTCCATTAAGTTCAGTTCATAATTGTTATTCATTGTTGTTGTGCATTCAGTGTATCAATGGTCCCTCCGATGACTCTGACTGGCTCTGATCAATTTATTGCTGAAAAACTATATTAGATTCAAATTGGATTAAACTTTATTGTCATTGTCACTGCGTACAAGCACTGAGATAATGAAATGCAGTTTAGCAGTATAAAGTAAGTAAAAGAAATCAGTGACACAAACTCCTTTGGCTTCATTAATTCATAATAGATAATTATACAGTATTAACTTGTGTCAAATAATGGTGTATGTACCAGAAAGTGCTTTGCTTAGTTAAAGGAAAAGATTAAATATTGTCAATTATCAGTGTTTTGGTCACATTAACATTGCATTTTATTAAATGTACATATATGAAATCTTTTTTAAGAATATTGTAACTAGGACCACAGTATTACATATAGTGTATTGATCAAGGCTATTTATTGTATGTTGTTGGTCTCGATCATACAAATGTAGATCTTCTTTCTGTTCTTTTTTCAATATAAGCAATTCCTATCATGGTCATCTCTGTACAATCATTTTATTTACAAAGGGAGCACAGTCATTATTGGGTAGAATAAATGGGTAATCAAGAAAAATTAACAGCATTTGTTTAATTTCATTTCCCTCCTAAAACATTTGCAACTGCCAAGTTTTTACAAATATTTTAAGATTGCAGACTTGGACATGCACAGTTCAGATAAAACAGAGACTCATTCACTCAGAAAAACAACTGCTTCATAATTCTGCTTATGGTCAAAAATTCCACTGTGTACCTTTAACTGACGAATGTGAGATACATGTATTTGTAATATTGCTCCACAATGGATATGGAAAGTTATTTTTCTAACCCAAGTACGTATATGAGAGAAACATGCAAGTCCCTTTGGACTTCACATTATGATAACATTTACTTCAATATATTCAGTAGGCCTCCCAGTTTGTACATCCTCTATTCCTCTCCTAGCATCTTAGTCCCTCCCACCAGAGATGCAAGTGAAAGGAGTGAGAAGAGACCGCACATACAGGCTTTGTGTTGCTAATCATAAAATAAAATCTGAAGTAGTGGTTCTCACTTCATGAATCACAATAAAGAAGTCTGATCATGCATTGCATTGCTAACTTCTGTTAATATTAAGAAGAAGAAAATACTGTAGTTTCTACTGTGTATTTGTTGTATTAGTTCACGTTTTGCTTCACTTTAACACTTGGTGGCTCACTGCACTTCCTGTTTTCTGCTCTATATGTAACACCTCTTGAATTTTACTCTGACATGTGTGGCAAAAAAAAAAAGAAAACTGCAAATCAAAAGTCAGTTTTGATGTAGGCCATATATTTAATTGGATGTCATCTTTTTTTAAACTTTCTTTTGGACCAATAATATAAAACAAAAAAACGAATGCAAACTTAATGCAGTTCACATGTTTATTTGAAAACTCCGTTCAAAAGCTCCAAAAACATCTTACATGGCCTCCTGCTCTCAAGAATATAATTCAGTCAGGGCCACTTTTGTCAAAATATATTTTATTCCAAAGCAGAATATTACAATATTAACCATTTGGCGGTATGGCTCTGTTTTGGGACACGTCCTTGCAATCTCCCACCTGCCCAAGCGTGGAGGAACGGTTAAGGCAGGGGAGAGCACACCTCCCCTGCCTTCCCCATGTGCGATAACATGAAAAAGTTAGTACAGAGAGCGGCTAGCAGAGAACCCACCCCGAAGGTACAGAAGCAGAGCAAGCATCAAGTGGCGAAATCAGAAAATCTTACATTGATTAATAGATTACAACATAAAAAGGAGGGAGCTGGGGTGGAGTTGGTTGCAAAAAGGCTTGTAGAGAAGCAGCAGAGATAGGACAGGCTAAAGGCAGCTTAATAAGGCCGCCAGAAATGAATGTATGTGCCGAATTGGATGCCTTGAGGGAATCAGTGGGCTGTCAGCTGGACTGTGTACGGTTTTCCAATAGAGGGAAGCCTTAGAATCAGCACTGATCCATCAGCTGATGTATGTTTATGACAGCTGTGATCCATATGATCAGCGTGTAACTGAGAGGCTGAGCCTGACATTTGTGGCTCTGCCTGAACTGAACGTCGATATGCGAATTTGATGGTCTTTATCTGCTCTCTGTCCCTCCAACACACGGGAGTCACACTGAGAAAGTCTGGTCTGAATTCATGAGATGATTGCTTGTGGCCTGTAGGCCAAGAGGTTTGTTGATCTTTCACTCAATCATGCGTGATCTGTGTACTGTTATGTACTGTGTACAATGACAATAAAGGCTTTCAATTTCAATTCAATTCATTCAATGTGGAAGAACTGACTTAACCGCAACACTACAAGCAGGAAACGCTTCTAAGTCTGGGTGGCTGGTAAAAGGCCAGGCAGCTGTTGTGGTGCTTTAAACATAGCCCACTGTCCCAGAAAATAGAATGTATTTTAAAGTTACCAATGGCAAAAACATAAAAAATAGCTTTGTAAGCATGGATACTCGCTGTTGTGTAATACATACATTGTATCCTTTGTTTAGGTTTAATGGTTATTACGAAACCCGAAGCTCTTCACAACAATAATTCACTGCCTCCGTGCATTACTAATCTCACCTTCATTCAAAATACTGACAGACCTAGACAGAGAGTCACCATGAGACGGCGTGAGACACATTGGGTTTCCATGGCTTGAAAGAACAAACTTCAGCAAACAACATATCAGAGGCTGCTTTCTTTTGAAAAATGTGAAAATGTTTATTGGGCAGGTTTAATGTGGACAGAATCACATATTCTAGACTGGCGTTTTCTTGTCCGTTTAGT